TACTACTGATTAGTTGAGTACATCATCTTTCTGAAAATTACATACGAGTTCTCATCACGGGAGTTTGTCATCTTCCAAAACGCATATAATTAGAATACTTTATCAGAGCTACTCTTGTGATTGGGTCAATATAGTAACTTCATTTATTTTGTTTTTGATTACTTATAAATATTGTTTCATTATATTTGCTTTATCCATCCCTAACATAGCCTTTGCCTGAAGTGTATGTTCTTTTTTTGGATTTATTTATTCAATAGAATTACATTTTTCCTTTAACCTTTATCCTGCCACCTATTGTGCTTTTACATTGACTTGACCAAATTAAGAGAGTTAATTTAAAAATTTATTGCTTTAAAAAAAAAAAGAAAACACCCAGATAAAGACTAAAGACAAACCGCCAGTAACATAACTCCTTGTTGGTGATCGTTTTTTTTTTTTTGGGGGGGGGGGGGGGGGTCAAAGTTGCATAATATATAATCAACATTCAAAAAATTAACATGTCAAAATATGTTGCCATTGGGATGGTGTCCAGTTCCACCAAGACTTTGACTTTGGTAGAAATATGCACTTAAGATATTTCATCACCAATGCCAGTTTGTTACTGACTTTATTTGGGTGTATGTATGTGCACTGCATGTGTGAAGAAAGCTGTCTCAGTCGCCGAACTTTGAGGCGTTACAATTGTTGTAATGTTAGGTTTTTCATTTGCGTCTGCAGCCACCAAACAACTATCCTATGACGACGTGTGCAACTCTTCTAGCTATACCAACACAACAGTTTATATTGGGGGTGTGACAACAGGACTGACGGGTATGTACCGCTTTCATCTCGCAAATCATATTAGTCTTTCTTTACATTGACTCGTTGATTCAATATATGGCACCAATTCGTCTCTGCTGATTGATACTTAGTGGCGAAGTGGTCACATGATCACAACCAATTAAGATTTAATATTTACAAGGTTACCTTATACCATGCAACATGTTAACAGTCATTGAAATTAAGTCGGTTATTTATGTATTCTTAATGTCTAGTAGTGCCTACGTAAATGTTCCAACATGCTTGTCAAGTACTTTGAGGTTATCACCTGCTTGGCCTTGGTGCTGTTAATGTCAAATGCAGACTATAAGATATTGATCTTTGACCCTGTTACTGTATCTACTGTCTGCATCTATCTAAAGATGCTTTCATTCCTTTCTATTGCTCCCATTTCGTTGGATAATACTTTTAATTGCCAGCATCGATTTTATCTCTTGCAGAGGGAAAAATGAGGGAAACTTTTTCTCACTATGGACATATACAAGAAGTTAGGATATTCCCAGATAAAGGATATGCTTTTATTCGGTAAGTTTTTATTTTCCGTCTTTTTACCGCTCTCACAAATACACTTGTACCGACATGATGTATTCAAGCAATTTATTTGAAGGTATAATTACCAAAGCTTCACATGTCTCCATTAGTGAATTCACTTCCTGGCTTCAGTCATTACAAGCCACTCATTTACTGATTCTTAACAATTATTTGTGCTGAGGGAAAATACTCTAGGGGTAGTCCTGCTTCTTCTGTTTTTGGTTAAGGGAATGTGTTTACCATAATGTGTTCCAACCTCTTCATCGGTAGATATGTGTAAATTTCTAAATAGCAAACTCAGACAGTTGCTACGTACTTGCTGTGCCGAAACTTTCCTAAACAACCTAACATACGTTCAGAAACATTTCCATCACAATGTCATGACCTCATTTCCCATCTCAATGTCATGACCACATTTCTCATCACAATGTCATGACCACATTTCCCATCACAATGTCATGACCACGTTCTAAATTTGTTAACAGATGAATTGCACTTTAGCTCTCTCTCTGCCCATCCAAACTTTGAACAGATTTCAGGGCCAACATAAAGATTATAATATTTTTGGTCATTCAAATATGCTTCAAAACAAAACCATTAAATCAAGACCTTTGAAGATTCAGTAAGAAAGGGAGAGTGTCTGTTACCCTACTTACTAGATGGACGAGGCCCATGTCGCAATACAAGTCTGATCAAGTCTAAGTTACTGTATGATGAATGCGTCTCAGGTTGATGAAAGACTCAAAGCAATGCTTTACATTTCTCATCCTTTCTCATCAGTCAACAGAGCACAAGTCATTAAACGTAGATCCCTTCTCATTATGGCGCAGTAACGAGAACTTATGATTATATTTTATTGAGCTGTGCATTTATCAGCATCACAAATGTTCAGACAATTGTAATGTTTTCTTTTGTTAGATTCATGACTCATGAGAGTGCAGCACATGCAATCGTCTCAGTGAATGGATCTCAGATAAACGGACACATGGTCAAATGTTCCTGGGGTAAAGAGTCCTCTGATCCTTTGTACCAAGCACAGGTATGTAAATCTTAAACATCTCTACCCCCTGCATGTACATGTGCTGATTGCTCATAGCAGTATTCCATGTCTCTGTAACTCTGATCACCTATTCCCCCATTTTCTGCATGTTTTCGTTTTTTTCACCAATGCTTTCCAAGTGGGGAAAAGTTAGTTAAGTTTCAGAGACAGAAACCTGGTTTGGTACCATTCCCTGTGTACTTGTACTCAGTCATTTTAGAGAGGGGTATAGCCCCTATTGCTATGATCAATTACATTGTTTTTTTTCTTTTGAATGTATGCATGACCATTTTACATCATTGTCATTTGTTTTAATCCCCTTTCCAACCCTTCCCACTCCCTTGTCTATACGCTAAAAAATTCAGACTGCAAGTCAAAATTTTATTCATTTATTTATTTTCGTTCAGTGAATGTTTTTTTTTTTTTTAATTCAAATGCTTGCAGTCCCCATCATGCTTGAAGGAAGCCCCACGGAATGAATGTCATATCATAATTTAAGTTTAAATCTGCTTTTGCAAAACTGAATCAGGTTAACCTAGAAGGTTTATTTCACTAAAAGCTGTTGATTCATTGGGATAAAAACATTTTGGTTGAAACTTCAAGACAAAGATCTTTCTATTTCTTTACATTGGTATACTGATGGTTATGGTCAATACTTTATATAGCAAATTCAAGTTTATTCATATTTTTAGAGATATAATTGTGGATTTTTTTTCAAAGTGAAAACGTCAAATTCTTGTTGGAATCTTTTAGTTGTAGGTGTTTTGCCTTCACATCCTAAATATTACTTGTGTATATTAAGTACCATTTTGTCTTAGAATTAAAGAAATAAAAAAAATACAGCACATGCTCTTCAAAAAAACTTTTTGTATTAAACATCAACTTTGGTCTATGTAATCGCTATATTTAATGTTATACCATCAATATTACTAAAATGTTATCTTTATCTTGGTGTTATAAAATATGATAAAAATTCTATTAATTGATACTTGACTTTGATCTTAAAAAATACAGTGACATTCTTTCCAATATTTTGTGGGCTTCCTTTCATCCACGGCAGAGAAACTTAGAAGTTCTCTTTTAAATTTCCCCCAACATGACAGCCAAATACCTATCCTGGCTATTACAATTACCAACAGGGACAATGGAATCAATACTACCAACAGTATGCTACCCAGCAGCCCCAGGTGCAGCCACAGCAATATATGGGAGGAGCGGCTGCTGTGCCACAACAAAGCAGCTATTACTACCCACAATATCAAGGGTGAGTCTCCATCTTTCTAAAAATTGTCAAATGGTGCAACCAGCAGTATTGCAAATGTACTTCACTGCTGACAAATTATCAATATTCGTACCAGCTTCTTATTATAAACTACATTTGGGAACTGATCATTACCACCCAGCCGGTTTCCTGCGAGTTTGACTCGGTTTACCGTACCGGTCGTTGCTTTACCGTAGCGATCATTGCTTTACCGTACTGACCGTTGCTTTACTGTACCGGCCAGTGCATCACTGTACCGGCTGGACAATTACCGTACTGATAAGACCAATACTGACTATTTATCACCTTCGATTAATGAATGCATGGTAAACGAAGCCCCGGTAACTGATCGGCGCCCTGCCGGTAACCGTGAGTCGTGCATAAATTAATTGGGCATTTTGCAAACAATAAGAATTTTTTTTTACCCATTGAAAGTGAATAATTTGAAAAGGACATTACAACAGAGTGTTACGTCCCAGTCGACTAGAGGACGATGGTTTAATGATTTGTTTATATTTGTCAGTAAGCTCACACAGTGGAAAGAAAGTCGGACAGCCGTCGAAATATAAATAAATAAATTAAATAAAATTCTGAAATTCTTCGCATGTGTTTTTTTTCAATATACGCGTGTTATTCACATATTCATGATTGCCTGTACGCTATACAACGACAGTCCTACATCGTAGCTTACCCACGACATTGAATATAACGTCCCAACCTGTTGCATGAATTCGATGATAC